ACTCCCATCTGGAGACCTGGGCACATCCCTCACAGATGGCTCTGTAAGCCACCATTGTCTTTTCCTCCTTATACAGAGAAGTTAAATGTCTTCTCCGTGTTTACATCAGCTTCTAAATTCCACAGGTAGGGGCTGTAATGTAATTTTATTAAAGGAAATGAATACTTGACCGCCATTCTCTCTTCTCCAACGGGCAAGTTGCATCGACCCCCATCCCCCGCGATGTCCCACGGCCTCTCAGTGCCCCTCAGTGAGTAGTTCCTGACGTTCCTAGCTGGTTTAGTTGAGAAATCTCTGCTTTCTGGGTCATAGCAAGTCCATTTAGACTTCCTCTTACCACTGCGTGGTTTGTCAGCTGTTCTGCTGGCCTGGTGACTTTTTATCCATTTAACCACAGAGAATGTGCTCTGGGTCAGCCGCTCAGGCAAAGGCTGGGGAAAGAAAGGGGAGAAAACATTCTCAGATGAACCCAGCTCTAAGTCACAGGGAGTGCTGAGCTGTGGAACACGGCAGGAGCTGAGTGTTCAAAGAGGGGCAAGACGGGAGGTGTTCATTTTGCCTGGGGAGTGAGGAGCCAGGGAAAGGTGTCAAGTGCCCTGATGTTTGATGTGGGCCCAGGAAACATGCTGATGGCACAAAGAAGAGGGATAGGACTGGAATTTTCTAGGCCTCGAAGCAGATGATGACAGCCTTTCCAGACTTTTTGGGGGTGCCAGCCAGAATCAAAGTGAGAACTCCCGGAGGGAAAGGAAAGTCAAGGGGACAGAATTAAGGCCTTTCTTTACATGACTGTTCCCTCAAGTACTGCAGAGCTTTACACTTCCTTTAACAGTGAGGACCACTCCCTTATACATGATGGCTCTTTTCCTCTGTATACACAGGGGTTAAATGACTTGTCCAAGTAGGTAACGAACCCAGTGCCTATCACAAGGCCTAGCTCCTAGTTTGTGGCCGATAATCAATATTTATTGCACGAACCATGAATGAAGGAATAAGTGAATGAACAAACCCAGTTCTCCTGACTCCCACATGGAATGATTTCAGCGGCTTGGTACCATTATTGTTGTCTTTTGGTCGTACTTCTAGCTTATTCTTATCACCATCCACAGCAGCATCCCAACGGATGTACCCTGAGGCCTCTGTGAATCTTCAAATTCAGGAAAGCATCTATAACATAGAAACTTGTCTTAATACGAAAATTGTACACAGGGCAGGGAGTCCACCTAACAGTTTTTAAAATTGCTTTCTATTATTTCTGCCTCCAGCTCCAACACCTTTCAGTCTCTCGTGCCCGCAGTCACCACGAGCTTGTCCTGTGTCCTGAATCGCACTCCTCATATGCTTTCCGTGTGACCTTTCTTTGGTTCACAGGCCCAAAGTGCTTCCCCAGCCCAGGGTGGAGGTGTCAAGCTGCCTTCTGGTCCTTGCGTCTCACTTCATTTATTCTCGCATTCATTCAGCAAGTATTGATTGCGTACTTCTTAAGAATCGGATCCTGTGCTGAGATACAGGGGGGACAGGGAAACACACACAGTGTCACCTCATGGAGCTCACTGTCTAGTGGAAGAAACAATAAAAAATGAAAGTTACGTTACGCAATGGTTTGTATTACGTAATGGTAGTTTTGATAAGTGCCCCAAAGGGGAAGCATAGGGTGGGGAGGTTGTTGAGCAGCGGCATCTAATTTGTTTAGGAGAGTCAGGACCAGCTTCCCCGAGGGACTGCACTCAGGGGACTATGACATAGCTCAACAAAAAGATGGGGGAGGGCATCTGTGGCCGAGGGCACCGTGTGGGTAAAGGCCCTGAGGCAGGATAGAAATTGGCTTTCCCAAGGAGACTCAGAAAGGCCCATGTGGCTCTAGTGCTTGGCTCACAACAGCCCTGTGGTGGCTTCCTATTGCATTGAGAGCTCAATCCACGGTCCTTACTCTAGCAAACAAGACCCGCCGTGGTCAAGAACGTACTGCAGCTCAGATCCCATTTCCTCACCTTCCCGCCTCCCGCCAGCCTCACTTTGCTATTCCTCAAAGGTGGCAAACCCAGGTCCTTCTCTGGGCACCTGCATTTTTCCTCCCTTCTCCCTATGTCCCCCTCATACCAGATAGCTTCCCAGCTCACTCCCTCACTCCATTTGGGTTTGTGCTAAAATGATAATTTATCAAACGGGCCTTCTCTGATGGCTCTTCCTATAATGGTGAACCTCTCCTACTCTCTGTCCCGTCACTTTGCATATTCTTCGTCACCCCCTGGCATATCATTTTTGCTTGTTAGTGAACTGTGTTTCTCTGTTACCTTGTAAGGGTCATGAATAAAGGTACCATCTTGATTGCTGTATCCTCAGCGTCTAGTACGGTGTCTGACTCATGAACAAACATGGATTAGTAACAGCTGAAGGGGAGGAGTGCTACAAGCCCAGACCTGAGAGAAAGACAAGAGCCAGACCCTGTGATACATACATGCCCTTTCGTGACTGGGCATTGCTCATGCGTTTCCCTCTGCCTACAATGCTCTTCCCGCCCCCCCCCCCCCACCATCACCATCTCCACCACTGAAGACCCACTGACACAGCCCATTGCTTGAACTTCCTCATAGCATTTAGTTTCTTTCTCTTTGGATTCTGGTGCGTGGGGTATATGTTTTACTCCTGTCCTCAAATAGACAGCTCCTGAGGGGTAAGACCCTATTAGATGCATGCCTGTCCCCAGTCCCAGCACAGACCTTGACTCAGAGTAGGAAAGTCTTTGTCTCATTGCATGGCAGTGCAGCAATAATCCAGGAGAGCTAGTAATCCAGGTGAGGGATTATAGTAAGGTCAGGGAGCTGAGCCAAAGTCATGGTCGGATTTGGAGGAACACACACGAGGAGCATGAACTCAGAGCCTGGTGGCCTGGGCTTTGAATCTGGCTCTGTCAGTGGCTCATGCTCAACTTAACCCCTAAAAACCTCGGTTTTCTTACCTGTAAGTGGGGATAATAGGAATAGCTCTCTCAGGAACCGTTATGAGATTTACATTAATCGCTATATGGAAGTATTCCGAACAGTGCAAGGAGCACGTGGATACTATATACATGTGTTGTTTAAATACATAAATATGAAGCCCAGGATGTCGTCTTCAGGCAGGAGACCTGAAGTCCAGGGGTGGCCTGAGCTTGGCAGAGGGGCAGCATCTGGAGATGCGCTTGGGAATCTGGGCAGGACCTTCGGAGACGAGGAGCTCTTGGGAGCCAGAGCCCAGTCGCAGCCAGCGCTCCAGCCAGTCGTTGCACAGAAAGGGAGACTGAGTCCAGGAATCATCTCCCTCAAGCTCCCACCATGACAGAGGAATGCCGACAACTCAAGTGGCCCCCAGCCTAATGCTCCCCGTGCCATGTCCTCACAATTTATCAGTGGGAGCTGATAACTGGCTTCCAGATGCTGGTTTATTGTTTACTTTCTTGTTTATTTTCCTCCTTGTTTCTCAGAGCTGTTGAAGTAGCTTACAGGAAGCAATAGAAGGTAAACTGTGGATGAAAATCAAAATTAGGACTAGGAAACATAACCATTAAAATAAGAGGCCAGAATGGTGGTGAGGTAGGATAGGAAAGAGCGTTGAAGACAAACATAATATAAGGGTCTGCACAGTTGTTATTTTCATGGGCAAATTAAGTTTTGAGCTTCCTAATGGCCAAAGTGAAAAGAGGTACATGGTCAGTTATATAGAAGAGAAGATCAAAGTGTTTTCCTAGTTCTTAGCCTTAAAGAAGTTTCTCATTTGTGCCAGGCTCTTCATGATGACATTGAAAGCAAACTTTTTCTTCTAATGATCTCCATTCTTATACCCTGGAGTGGTCTTGGCTGATGAGCTGTCCAGATTGTTTCCCTGAGGTGGTTATAACTTCTGAATTTGCTTGCAAAATCTTAGATCCTCATTCTGACTCTGCTATGATTATGGGGTTCCCCTGATCAGCCAAGAACTAAATTTGTGATTCAGCCTTTCAGAATTTCATGGTTCTTAAAGACCATAAAGGTCATCAAGTCTAACATCCCCATCCCACTCACCTTCTGATGTTTGAACCTTCTCTGCAACAACTCCATCAAGTGGTCATCCAGATTTTCCTTGTATGCCTCCAGGGACAGAGAGCTCACTAGCTTTAAAGACATTTCATCCGTCCATTTTTTAATTCTATTGAGTTGACATCTGAATCCTGGCCATACTGATTGAAAGAGACATTTTGTCACTGAGGAAAGAAATCAAGTCAAATTGGCCAGCAGGAAGAAACTCTGGGAGTCCTGAGCTTCATTAAAAGTAGACTTTTGTTCGAATAAAGTGTTAAAATTAAAGCAGTATATCTCCGAGTGGGGCCAATTGGCATTAACTCACCATGGCATATGGTGTGCTTCCTTTTATATGCATGTTTAGCAGCTAGTGGGTACCAAACCTCACACAGCTCTCAATTGCTAGCACTAATGAAGGATCTGTTTGCTTTGGGGAATAAAGATGGTCTCACTGATTCACAGTTGTTTTTCCAGGAGTGATGAGCAGACCTCACTTCCTCATCCGCACTCTCTCGCTTGGTCCTTTCTCATCCCCACTACTCCCGCCCTTTTTCAGACCTCATTGTCTCTTGCCAGGACTGTTCATTTGCCTCTAACTAGCCTCGCTGCCTCAGTTCTGGCTTTCTCTCTGGTCCGAGAGCACACGGCCAGAGGGATCTTCATCAAGCACAGATCTGCCATATTACTCCCAGCTTGAAATCCTTCAGTGACTCCTGTTAGCCCCAGTGTGGAATCCAAGCTTCTTAGCATATAAGGTAGGCAGGGCAGCCTCGGAGTCACTTGTCACCATGGAGTGGGACAGAGCTAACTGTCCCTCATTCAGGGACAGTTGAGCCCCAAGGTAGTATAAAGCCTCTGGAACAACAGCTCACATTTGTATAACTTTGCAACACTCCCAGTCTATTCACTGGGAATTAATTTCAAAAATTAATTTCATCTCCAGTGAGCAGCAGAAGAAACAGAGAATCTCTCCATACTTTGGCTAGTAGGAGTACTCCTACTACGGATAGTAACCACAGTGAGGATTTTTATAGTACTTGTGCACCAGGTTCTGTTTCTCAGCACTTTATTACTTCACTTAATCCTCACGAGAAGATGATGGTACTTGCGTGACCCCGAGGGTGAGCATCTCCCTCACCTCACCCTAGTCCCGGCCCTGGCTGGACTCCTGTGACAATGACTGGAGCAGGCTTTGGGGGCACCTCATTGTGGGGAAACCTCAGATGGACAGAGTGGTCCGAGCAGAGGTCCGGCCTCAGCCTCGCTGCTGGCGGAAGGATCGGAAGGACCAGCCAGAGTTTTGTAGTCGGGGTCAGAGAGCCAGGAGGCCATCCCACAGCAGGCAGCGCGGCGGAGAGAAGGCCACAGGGCTGGCGTGTGTTTCCCAGCTGTACGCGCCCCTGGTGGGAGACCACACGCGGGTTTCTGGACCTCACTTTCCTCCTCTGCGCAATCAGAGTGTTAACAATCCCTCCGTCTCCTTCCAGGTTCAGTGTGACGATGGCAGCGAAGGTGTCAGATGGACAGTGAAGCGAAGTGCCTGCGCAGCACGAGGTGGGGAGAAGGTATCCGAGTGGGTACGGGAGCCTGGGGTCAGGCCTGTCCCGACCACTGACGCGCTCAGGAAGCATAGCACACAACTTCCCCTTTCTGGGGCAGACTTCATATCTCATTAAAGCGGATGAAACAGCTCAGCTTGACAGAGGCAGCTGGGCTTCATGTCACACTGAGAACAGCTCGCATCCCACCGCCAAGCCCGTGGGCAGCCCGCAGCCAACAGCTGCACAGCCTTCCAGTTGGGCCCCGGCTCTGCCCTTTGGGTCACTTTTTCCAGCTCAGTCACAATGAAATGTCTCCTTCTTCCATATAAACCTGGGGCTGTGCCCCCGCCCGCCTCTCCCATCACCCACACTTCCCCCAGGTCCTAAAACAAGCCACTTCCTCAAGACTGGAGGCCCACCTTAGCAAGTGTGAGAGCTACGCTGATAACTAACTAGGAGGCTAATTGAAAATATTTTGGAGTTTGCCTGCTAGATCTGTCAAATCAAGTAAAAAATCATTCTTATCTACCCTAACCAGCAGTTATGCAAATCTGCCAATGGCATTAATTAAAGGACTTCCTTACTTCTCAGAGCATTTATCATAAATGAGGAACAGGAACTTTCAGGGGCCTATTTCCTTCTCTCCAGCAGCCATAGCCCCATCTGGATTAATGCTACATGGGCAGAGTCTTACCCTGCAAGGCGGGGGATTTGACTCCTTGTGAGCAGACATTTGAGTTCTGTATTTGTGGGGCACTGTGTGTTTACCAGGTGTCAGGTCAGATGGGCTAGGCTGTCCTCCACGTGAACCTTCAGATTTCTCACATCATTCCTTGAGCTTTCAACCTTGACCCTTTGTGGTGGGCAGAGTGGATGCGCACGGAGCAATTTTACATCCATTATCCTTTTTGACTTTCAGAACAGCTCTGTGATGTTGGTCTTTATCCCTGCGCTGCAGATGAGAAAGTTTGGACTGCCTTGCTGTAAAACAGAGTTGACCAAAATTTTTGTAAATATTTTTTACAGTAAATATTTTAGGCTTTGTGGGCTGTAAGGTCTCTGTCACAACTCTCCACTCTGCCATTGTAGCAAGAAAGCAGATATAGACACTGAATAAACAAATAGACATGACTGTGTTCCCATAAAACTTTCTTTACAAAAACGGGTGGTGGGCCATAGTTTTCTGACCGCTGCTGTAAAGCACTGAGATTGTTGGGGGAAAAAGATATGTTTGATAAATAGAAAACTTTAATGAGGGGATTCGTTATAAGCTCAATAAATATTACTGAGCATTCACTCTGTGTCCGGCACTGAAAGGAAAACAGATAAATCCAAGAGCTCATAGTATGTTGGGGGAAATATCTACATGAATTCACATCACTGTCGTGTAAGGCCCAGAGTGCTCAGGGCCATTAGAGGAGGCAAATGGGACTCAGAATCCAGAACATCTGGAACATGAAGGAGCTATCCGGAGGAGGTTACGTGTTAGCTGGACTTTGAAGAACAACTACGATGGAACACGAAGCCTTGACCGTGGGGCCGGGGAAGACGTACTTGTTGGAAGGTCAGCATGATCCATCGTGTTTCCCCTCCTCATCCTGCTCCTCCAATCAATAGAGACCAGGTATGTTCGCAGTTAGTGCCCAGGCGAGAGCCCTTGTAGGACAGATGTGGTGGTGCAGCGCCACTGAGGGCCCGGGCTCAGGATGGTGCTCAAGGCCTGTGGAAAGAGCAAGCCCAAATTAGGGCATGTGAGGGCCCGTTGGAGTCAGACAGGTAGTTATGGGCAGCAGAGAAAGAGAAGTTGGGGTGAAGGGCATCCCACGGCACTGAGTCACGGGGAGAGGCTGCAGCTGCGTAGAACATTAGATTGTAAGTCATAATGTTGTGGCTGCACCCCCTGACTCTGGGTCTGGGCCAGGAGGAGTTCCCCACACTGGTTACAATAGGGATGACGTCACTTTGGGCTAGTGCCTGTGATGTTTTGAGATCACGAGGCACGTTCACAACTATTATCTGTTCATCTTCACAACGAATCCTGTGAGGTTAGTCCCATCATCCCCATCTTACAGGTGGAAAGACTGACCCTCAGCATAACGCACTGCTGTGCCAAGAATTTGAAGCTAGATCTGTGGGACCTTGAAGCCAGCGCTTTTCTCACTGTTGTGTACTGCCCCGTAGCACATGTGGCAGTTGTTAGAGATGGAGAGTAAGAGAATAAGAAGATATAGGTCACAATCCTAATCAGGAAAAGCCACTATGGTGGACTTAGGGCTCAGAAGAGAGCTTTCAGAGGGGATCAGATTCCACCTGATGAAACTCTGGGTTCCCATGAAACATGTTCTTGTTCTTGCTGAGTTGACCGAGGGACTAAGTCATTCAACTCCAGGACATCTCCTTAAACTCTCAGAGCATGTCCCCACACATGTGACTGCCAGCTGGCGGGCTTGGGAATGCTTCTGGGCTCTGCCCCTTTGGCTTCTAGCTTTTGCTCTTGGCCTGGTCTCTCTGCTTCTGGCTCTTTCCAGCCAGCACCTTTGGATTATTTCTTTGAACGGTTTCTCAGGGTTCAACTCTCAGAGCATACCCAGCCAGGCCTGAGTGTTTATCCAGAGGACCTCACGCCCAGACCTCACATTCGTGACGAGCCCCAATGTCTGCTTTTAATCTCATCTCCAGTCGGGGTTGTGCACAGTCTCAGCCAGGCCCTGCCAAGCCTGGGAGAAGACTCATCCTGCAGCTGAAAATTGTGTCTCCTTATGAGACGAGAGCCCTGATAGTATAATAAATAAGTTGATAATTTCTATGATTGTCTTTGAAGAGTAAACAAATATACATTGCATTGTGCGTGTGGTTTAAAAGCGAAAAATTTTAAAAAGCAAATATTTCAGAGCTACTACAGTTTATTTGGCCCTGTTTTTGCGTTTCTTTCTTTTTCTGTAAGGTACTGACAGCCTCAAATGTGGAAATGTCCGGGATTTCTCCTGAGCCCTGAAGAGCCCTGGTGTCCCAACACCCCAGGAATTGGACAGAGAATTCTACAGTTGCCTTCGGTCTAGATCGTGGTGAGCCGAACAGCTCTCTGGTCAGTCTCCCGAGTTAGAACCCTCCTCAGTCAGTGCTTCTGCCCACACTGCCGCTGCCTTCATCTGGTCTTCTCCATCTTTCTCTTGGACTGTTATTTAAACATTCTGGAACGTGCTCCTTCTGTTACCAGTTTCTTCCCATGCACTCCATTTTCCATACTGCTCTTAGAGTGAGCTCTATAAAAAGCAGGTCTAATCATGCCCTCCTTGGCTAAAAAACTTTGGTACCTTGGGTTTACTCCCAGCTTAGTTGGGGTGAGGGTCTTTGTGGCTCTCATCGCCCATGGTGACTTCTCTTACATTGGAATGCCCATGGAGGACAGCCCTGCCGTCCCAGAGAATAGAGGCAACTAAGGCCAATCCCTTCCCAGTGTTCCCCTCCCCACCCTGCCCTGCCAGCCTTCGCCAGATCCATCAGCGGGACAATGGTGTCATTATATGAAGTTCTTTCCTAGATCTAGGAACGGATGCACCGTATCAAAATACAAAATCCGGATGCTTACCTGTTGTTCTTTTCGGCCGCGCAAGGAAGGGCCTTGGGTCCTCCTAAAGCTGTCAGCCCTGCTGCCGGTGGGTTCCTCTCTCTGAGCCCCCTTTCCTCACACAGTTGCCTCCTCAGTTCCTCAGTGTGGTGTCCTCACTGCCCATCTTTGCCCAAGATCTCTCTGCTTTTACAAACTTCAGTGTCACTCAGGTTTCAGCGGGCCCCAAAGTGACAGGTGCGGGTGGCTCTTGTCCCCTGGGTGATTATGAGTCCACAGTTCCAGTTCAGATTCCCTCCATGGAGGGTGGTGGCTGATTTCTTTACGTGGTCACCTCACAGGCAGATGCGCCTCACCCAGGCTGCAGGGAGCTTTTCGATTTGTCTTTAAAATGAGTCGACCCCATTTTGAGTCCTATAGGGGAAAGGATTTTCCCTCCCATTAGCATATTTTGGCCTTGCCCCTTTTAGAAACCCAGGTGTCCTCACAATTGTGTCTGGCTTTCCTCGTGAAGAAGCCAGGCTAGCTGTAAGGGGCTGCTTTCTCCGCTGCCCAGGATGAAGAGTGTGGCTGAGAGCCACATCTGCTCGAAAGGGGAATGGAGGGTTCAGGGGTGCACCCAGCAAAACATCGTGAACGCCTGCCAGGATGAGCTGCTGGCCATCTGTATTAGTTTCCTGGGGCTGCTGTGACAAATGACCACAAACTTCGTGGCTTGAAAGAACAGAAATATGTTCTGTCACAGTCTTGGAGGCCAGAAGTCTGAAATCAAGGTCGGCAGGGCCCTGCTCCCTCTGAAGGCTCTCGAGGAGAATCCTTCCTTGCCCCTTCTAGCTTCCGGTGGCTCCAGGTGTTCCTCGGCTGTGTAGGCATCCGCTCCAGTCTCTGCCTCCGTCTGCACGTGGCTTTCTCCTTTGTGTCTTTCCCTTCTCTCCCGTCTCGAATCTCCGTCTGCCTTTCTCTCACAAGGATGCCTGCCACAGTAATCCAGGATGAACTCATCTCAAGATCCCTGACTTAATTACATCAGCAAAGACCCCTTTTCCAAACAAGGTACAGTCACAGGTTCTAGGTGTTAGAACATGGACATGTCATTTGGGAGGCCACCACTCACCCGCTGACCATCCCAATTCTTTTCACAGTTGTGCCTCTGCGTAGTTCTCTTCCCTCTGCCTTTGGTATCCTTCACCATCTTCCCACGTGTCCACCATCCTCACGTTTTCCTTGTTCTGCAAACTCTTTTTATCCTTAAATACGAGCTCAAACATCCCCTTGTGCGTAAAGCCTTCCCTGACTCCAAGAGGCACTGTCACACGTTCCTTCCCCTGCGACCCGCACCACAGGGCTCACCTGCCTGAAAGCACTTGCCAGCCTGCGTCTGGGAAACGAAGCTGGACAGGCGAATACTGAGCCAGGCAGGGGAGAGCCGTCCCACCGAAGTCGCTCCTCTCAAGGTGATCAGTGACTTCCATTTTGCCGAATCCACCGGTCGCTTCTTTTTTTTTTTACTAAACTGCCTAGCAACATTTGATACTATTAATTGCTCCCTCCTTCTCGATCACTTTCTTCTCCTGGCTCATTATGTGGCACTGTCCTTGTTCTCTTCCCACGTCACTGCCCACGCTTTCACTGTCGTTAGCTGGTCTCTCCTCTACTGCTAAGCCTCTGGACATCAGGTGCCCGAGGGCTCTGCTCTTTCCCCCAGGAGTTCCATGGCTTCAAGCAGCAGGCATGTATTCCCATGACACTTAAGTTTATATGTTTAGCCCACTTTCTGTTTACCTCTGGATTTGTGTATCCAGCTACTGACCTGGTGTTTTCACTTAAATGTCTAGTAGGCACTTTACCTGTAACATATTCAAAGCAGAACACTTGTTTTTTTCCCCAGCTTTGTTCCCTTCATTGCCCTCACTCCAGTGGCACCTCCATCCACTCAGTTGCTCAAGCCCAAAACCCGGCATCACCCTTGATTATGTTTTCCTATTTCCGCACGTCAAATCCGGCAGAAAGGACTGCGAGCTCTACCTCCTAAACAGGTCTTGAGCCTACAGATTTATTTCCTTTTCTCCCCCTACCATCCCAGCTTCTGCCTCACTCCTCTTGCCTCAGCTCCCCTCACTTTCCCTCTACCTGCTATCTTCCTGCCTCCTGGAATGTAGAAACTACTCAAAGGCAACAGCACAGGCAAAGAAGCCCACCTGTCGGAATCAGGGAAGAAGGCTTCCAGCTCACTGCTAGGCTCTAACTCACCACACGTCCTGCAAGACCTCCTTCCTTTGTCTGGAATGATCGCTTAGATCTTGGCACAGCCAATTTCCTTCTTGTCTCTAAGGCCTTGGTTCCAATGTGACTCGTCATCTAAAGTATCCCCCTACCCAAGTCACTTTCTATCCTAAGACCCATTTTCCTATCTTTCTGTTAATCAGTTATCTGAAATAATCCTGTTTGTTTATGTGATTAATAATATTGTCTCCTCTCTCTAGACAGACGCAGATACTCACCTGCTTTGATCACTGACTGTGCCCAGAAAAGCGCCTGGCTCCTAATGCAACTGAATATGTATTTGTGGAATAAATGAGTGTATATTTTAGAAAAATCACTCTGGTAACAATTTGGAAAATAGACTTGAAGGGAAGAAATCCGTGCTTTTAGAAAGTTCTCTCTGGCTAGATGGTGCAGTGTGGATTGGACACAGAAACCCCACAGTCTCTTGGAACACCAAACCCTGCAGGCTGTTCGATGAGGTGAATTCCACATGATTATAGCCTAGAAGTGGCTTGGAAGCTTTCTTCACTGAGTCCGACAGGTGAGTTTCTTTTTTGGTGCTGTTGCCTTTAAGTTGAGAAGTTAAAATGTGGCCAAAATAGATTTCTGTATTTGGGTTGCTGACACCCCAAGTGTGTGAAAGTGGAATTAGATACTTTTCTTGTGGCAGCTGCTGACCCAAAAATCATGGACAATTGCTACAGGGACAGTCATTCTCTGAGAGTGTCATCTGGCAGCAAAGAAGCAGGGGACTGAGCCTGCCGTGGGGCACACTCCGCTCCTCGAGTCAGAGGTCCTTTTGGCTGGCCTAGTGGTGGACAATGTGGGGACAATTCTTTTCTTTCCACCTCTTCATTGTTGTACAAAAGAACACACAGATCTTCCCAGAAAAGGGGTTAGCCAGGCTCCGTAACTCTAGGATTCTTCTTTCTCTCTTTGTCCCAGAGCCTGAGTTCTCTTGCATTCTTTTCAAAGCACAGTGCAAATAGAAAGGATGCTTAGAAAAGTGGATAAAGAGAAAACAGAATAGAAATCTCCCAAACCTGCCAAATTCTTCCCCTGAATCCCATGGTATACAGAATTTATATTGAGTAAAAATATATCTTTTTCAGGACAAATAAAAACCATCCTGCAGGCAATTATCCTCTCTCCTCCTTCTTCTTTTTTTGGGGGTAGATTTTATGGAGTGATTTGAATTCTTAGGACCTCTCTTTCATTGTGCAGACTGAGAAATTGTTACCCTCACAATCAGGAGAGCTGAGTGATCTGAGTGGGCAAACCAGACTCAAGGAGCTGCCACAGTCCACATGGAAGCTGAGCTTCACCAGTCTGCGTGGACAGTCTCCTTTCTAAAAGGCATATGATGTTCTATGTGGCAGCATGACATGGTAGAAAAGCGTGGAATTAGAAGGCAGGAAATCTGGACTCCTTGGGTGACCTTGGGCAAGTTATTTAGATTTTCTGAGTCTGGGCCTACCTATTATGAAATGGGAGTCATAATACATCCCTCCCCTATGTACAATGCTATTTTAAAAAAATAAATGTATATGTGAGCAGGCCTAGGAAACTGGGAAGACCCCTGTGCATCGTAGTCATTATTTTCTAGTTTGTCAAATCAAAATCTTAATCTAGAATGGATAAATCTATTCACAGCGAATGTTCATTCATTAGACAGACTGATTGATGATGAGTTGGGATTCTGGATTCAGACCAGGAGACAGAAATAAACTTACTCTTGATATTTTAGAGCCTCTCCAATTTAATATGGTTTACTTGGCACATTCAGCATAGAACTTGAGTATAAGGGCTAAAATTCCGGCTATTGAGATTTAGTGAGAAAAGATGGTTTTATCCATTCAACATTTACTCAATAAATATTTCTCGGTGTAGGTAAAGTGTTTAAAACAGTGCTTGGCATCTGTCAAGTGCTCAAAAAATTCCCACTGGTATTGTCGTCGTTGCTATTTGCTGGGTCCTGGGCTGGCCTTTGGGTTTGAAAATATGCAAAGCCATAGTTTCTGCCCTTTGGAGCTCTGAGTCTAGCGGGGGAGATATTTGTGAGTTGACAGTTACAAGAATGAAGCAATTGGGGAACAGTCAGAGACTGACTTGAGTCAGTCTGTCTGTATTTGAAATGCTGCTCCATTATTTATTAGCCGAGTGAACTTGGGCAAGTGACTTAAGCTTTCAGACTTTATTTTCCTCATCTGTAAAATGGGAGCATAATAGCACTGATTTTAAGGGATTGCTGAATGAGTAAATTAGATAATTATTCATTCATTTGTTTATTAAATACTTATTGAGTATTGTGACTGGCAGCATAAGGGCCGCCCAGAGGCATCCATAGCCTAATCCCCAGAACATTTGAATATGTTAGGTTACAAGGCAAAGGGAATTAAGGTTGCAGATGCAATTAAGTTTGCTAATCAGCTGACCTTAAAATAGGAAGATTATCCCAGAGTAATGGGATGGGCCCACTGTGATCGCAAGGGTTCTTAGTAGTAGAAGGGTGCGAGTCACAGCTTTGAAGATAGTCTGCTGCTGACGTTGAAGATGGAGAAACGAGGTCATTTGCAAGATGCCTCTAAAAACTGGAAAAAATGGGCAAATGTATTTTCCCCTACAGCCTCCAGAAGGAATATAGCTGATTTTAGCCTTGATTTTAGCCCAGTGAGATCCATTTCAAACTTCTGACCTCCAGAGCTGCAGGATAATAAATTTGTGTTGTTTAAGCCACTAAGTCTGTGGTAATTTATCACAGCCACAACAGGAAATGGATACAAATGTATACCCTGTGCCGCCGGCCTCTGTTCTGGGTGCTGGGGCTGAGCAGTTGGACACACATGCAGACATACATTCTCTGTTCTTTTGGAGCTTACATGCTAGAACAATAAATAAATGGACAAATAAATATGTGTCAGAGGCTGGTATGTGCTATGAAGAAAAATGAAAGCAGGGTGAGGGAGCTGGAGAATAAAGGTGGGATTATTTTGCAGGGGAGTGATCAGAGGGCCCTTGGAATGAGATGGTATTCGAACAGAAACCTGGATTAAATGAAGATGACCCATGTGGACATCTAAGGGGAAGACCAGCCTTGGGTGAGGCAGCTCCTTTTCGAAGCCCTTTCCCAAAGATGGGTGCAACTATGAGCCTCCAGCAGCCAGAAGTCCCAGCAGCTGGGGGAACGAATGCCTCAGACCTGAAGGGATCTGGTTAATGCGTCAATCATCCACTCCAGGGGGCTGTGACAATAGTCCGGCCAACAGGTGATGATAATTTGTACAGGGCTGGTTGCAGGGGAGAAGGTGAGAAATAATCATTTTAAAGTAGGGCTAACAGGATCTGCGAATGGATTTGCCAGAATGAAAAGAGAGATGTCAAGGCTGACTCCAAGCAAGCGGAATGAGGTTGCCACTTACTGAAATGGGGAAGACTGGACAAGGGGCCAATTTGGGGGAGAGCAATCAAGAGTTTAGCTTTAGATAGACTAAATCTGAGATGCTTTAACTTCTCCAAGCAAGGAGATGTTGAGTTCAGAGGAGCGATCAGGCTGGAGCTGTAACTTTGGGAGAAAGCTGTGGAACTGACCTCAGTCCATTTAGGGAGTGGATCTGGGCGAGGAAGAGGTCCAAGACTGAGTTCTGGGACAGTCCATCGGTGAAGGATTGGAAAGATGAGAGAACGCTCCCACAAAAGCATGGAGCCTGGCATGTGGTAAGTGCCTCGTATAGGGTAGCTACTGCTGTGGTCTGAATTGTGTCTCCCCCCAAATTCCTATGTTGAAGCCCTAACAACCAACGTGACTGCATTTGGAGATGGGGCTTCTGGGAGGTAATTGAGGTTAAATGAAGTCAAGGGTAGGGCCCTGATCTGATAGTATTTGTGGCCTTATAAGAAGAGGAAGAGATCTCTCTCTCTCCATCATGTAAGGACACAGTGAGAAGGCAGCCATCAGCAAGCCAGGAAAAGGGTTCTCACCAGGAACTGTGGGAAAATACATTTCTGTTGGTTAAGCCAGCCAGGCTGCGGTATCATGTTATGGCAGCCTGAGCTGACTAAGACACGAGCCATGGAAGTTTGGCAAAAGGCGGAGGTGAGTAAGCAGAATAAGAGCCTCCTAAAGATGTCTACATCCGAATTCCCAGAACCTTTGATTGTGTTGTTTGTATACTGAGTGAAGATTAAGGTAGCAGATGGAGTCAGATGGCTAAACTGCTTGGCTTAAGATAAGAAGACTGGCCATAATCATGCGGGTGGTGCTAACGAAGTCACCACGTTCCTCCGAGTGTGGAAGAGGAAGACAGAATAGCTGGAATCAGAGTGAGATTTGAAGATGGTGGAATGGCCACGAGCCAAGGAAGAATCGTGGTCACTAGAAACTGCAATAGGAGAGGAATGAATTCTTTCCTGGAACCTACAGAAGGAATCCAGCCCCACAGACATCTCGATTTTGACACATTGAGATTCCTTTCAGGCTTCTAACATCCTGAACCCTAGGATCACAATTTTGTTTCTTCTAAACCCTTAGCGTGGTAATTTGTTACAGCAGCGATAGGAACGCGGTACAGACATTTATCTAAGAAAATTTTTTTGGAGGAAACTGAGAAAAAAAGGCAGAAGTGACTTAAGCTAGAAAGCACTCGGAGAGCTGGGGGGACACACTCTGTCCCCAGCTTTCTCATTGACCCACGTTCATCCAGGTCTCTCTTTGGGCCTCAGTTTCCTCTTCTGTAAACTGAGGGCTCCTTTCGTTTCTAACACTCTACACACTAGGATTTAGAAATATAATTGTTAAAAATATGTATCACTGCATTCATGTGAATCAAAAAATATTTTTTAATTTTATTTTTTATTGTGGTGAAGTATACATACCCTAAAATTTACCACTTTAAACACCATCCATCTCCAGACTCATTCATCTTCCCAGCCGAAACCCATTAAACAATAATTTAATCCTCGCAGCCCCTGGCAACCACCATCCTACTGTCTGTGTCTATGAATCTGACCACTCCAGGTAACTCATAAGTGGAACCATACAGTATTTGTCCTTTTGTGGCTGGCTTCTTTCACTTCGCATAATGTCTTCGAGGTTCATCCACGTTGTAGCCCGTGTCAGGATTTCATTCCTTTTTAAGGCTGAATAATTTAGTCATGTGGATTTGGAATCACAAGACCTGTGTCCCAGTTCCAACTCTTCTACATGTGAGCTCATATGACCTCTAGTGTGCCCTCTGCTTCTCATTTCCTCATCCTTAAATAGTGAAAATAGTACCTACCTTATAGACACATTGGGCGGAGAATTTGATGTAATGGATGTGAAACCTCTTTGGAAAGCCTGTGATGCCATGGCTAATTTTAGCTGTGAGAGGCCAATAGGTTGGCTGCCGGGGGTTGATTCTTTTCTCTTGGCCACTCTAATGACATCTTTCCAAGCAATTCCTTGGCCCAGCTGCAGAGCTGATCCAATTCACTTATCATGGCAGTCAAATAAATGGACTCGGTTGTTTTCCTGTCAGCTTCTTGATGTGTCGGATCAGCGCA